TTTTATTCACTGATTAATAAAAAAAAACTGCAGAGGTGTTGGAAGGCGACGATCCCGGGGGCGGGGCATTTGCCCTCTTTCTTCGTCCCCACCCCGGGAAATTTGCCCATTTATTTAAAAAAAATGCTAATGCCCGGGGGTTAGCCCGGGGGGGGGGATGGGCACTGCTAGAATTGACTGACGCATTATTCTGCTCTTGCTGAACACTAGAGTCTTCCCGCGGGAGGACCCGATCGAACACACTGCAGTCCCCGCAAGGAAAGCACGTTGTGCGTTGTTCTTCCGCTGAGGGAAAAGAAAAAAGAGAACTACTGGATTAATGTTTACGACAATGGCTTCTGCACGCTAAATATTTACAATTTAAAGGAAATCAGAATGAGAAATATTAGTCGTCCCAAGCCCTCGACCCAAGCCCCTACCTAGACCGTTGGGTCCAAATAGTGAAAAGTGATCGGAATGTAACTTCTCTCATCAACATTGATATAAACTCAATCATCAAGCTCTAGAGAATAAAGAATCTCGTCTCCAAGGGGGATTTTCATGATCATGATCAGTTCTCCCAACTAGTATTAAAGGAAATGTATATGAGGATCAGTTTGAAAAATTTGTATGTTGACATCAAGGCTTAAAGTCCTGTCTTCCCATTCAACAAATGCTCTTTCAAAAACACTGATGAAAACTCGTCTCTCCTTTTTTACTTGAATACCACGGAAAACCAAACTAGCAGTTCCGGCTCTCTCAGACTCTGTCTAAGCCACTCAACACTACAATCTCACGCTAAGCGTTGCGTGACAAAAACAGATTGTGTTACAGGAGTTCCTCACGTGTAAGTCAAGTCATATTACTGTTAACGATGAAGTAGGAAAGACAGACGCAACCAAAAAACTTTGAGGAATTTTCGACAGCTCGAAATAGTCCAAAAAATATGAGCCTTTTATCTGGAACTTTTAGCAAACCAAAATCATGGTATTACGCAAGAGTTTTAAATGAAATTGCAGCCTCCAACGCTGCAGTGTGGGGAAAAACTAAAATGGAGACAAACGAAAATGGAGAAAAGAATGCGTGGTGTACGAAATGAGGCCGTGAAAAAAAAAAACCCTTCATAGGGCACCAGATTATAATCAATTTAATTTTCTTTGCAAATATCCCATCATGCTCCAGAAAGAACTTTTCAATTTCGCACCGTAACAGACAAGGATGAGGGCAAAACAAATTTCCGACTGAACAACCAGCGTGTATGTAACAATAGCAAAATTTACATAATTCAATAAGAACAATATTTGCAGACTGGATAGCAACTGAACGTTTTTATTTCTGAAGCGTTCCAAAAACATCACTGCATATACAAACAATTAACCCAAATTTACTAAACCAGTAGATATTAAGAACAAATTCGAAATTCAGCCTTCAATACTATAGCAACCGATTGAAACTGAAGAATGTGCAATGTTGTGACATTAAGCTTAGTGACCTCCCACAGAGGGAAGCAATCGATCGACGACGAACCAGCGACGCGTACAATAATCTTTGTTAAAAAAGATGGCCGAAAGTACACTAGGAGAGCCCGTTTATCCAGCAAACAGCCCCTATTGCTGGGATATGATGCAAACACTTGACAAAATCCGCAGA